TCAAATCGCCCAATAAGGAGCCAGCTTCCCAAACCCTGACAGAGCTATCTATCATTACGTTTACATTTCAGTAACGAGTAACGATTCAGACCATGAAAAATCGATCGGAGTAAAAGTATTAAATTAATCGTAAATTTGTAGTGGAGTAAAAGTTAAAGTAGGGGAAAAAAATATACTCCAATAAAGTACAGATACTGCATTTGGGTACTTAAGTACAGTAATTAAGAAGTTCTACTTAGTTACTGAACATCTCTGGAGAGGTGGATGCCAAAAGTCAAAGCTGTCCTACATGCACATCCTCATCTATGGTTATGCAGTGTGGGTAGTCTACCTGAAAAAAACTGACTCAAATGAACACCATGCGAAGGGTATGGGCTCCGACTTAAATGACAGAGATAACAATTTAGTCATTGAGGAAGACCTACGAATAGTGGTCACGATCCCGTTGTGTCAGATGGCTATCATCTGCCAAACTCACTTAGGAAGAATACCTTCTTTTGGTTGCTGGTGATTTAAAGAGCTGCAATCTTTCATTGGCTGGTGCTCTAACTATTTTGGAGAACTCCAGAAACATCGGATTTTTGAGACTACATCCATGTTTAACCACGTTTCCCTAGTTAAGTCCTCTTTTCTCCTGTGTTGCCAGGTTTTCCTCGCCTCCATCGGAGGTTCACGTGCATTCCTCCAGTGAGCAGTTCAGCCTCCGAACCAGTGGCTGTTTTTTACAATTCAGCCATCCTCGTCCTGCCCGCTCTCCATATGCCTCAACCCCCCCATCCCGGCTCCCATCACCCTCTAAAGCGGCTCCTCAGAGCTGGTATCAAGCTCCATACCAGGTGCCTAAGCAGCTCCATGACCAAACTTTCCTATCAGTTCCATCTTGTCTGGCAGAGATTCAGGTTCTGGGCATGCTTTTTTGCATATAGGTGGGCTCCCTACAGTAATGACAAGAGTCACTCCTTCACTCCTTTTCATCACAGATGTGGTTGATGTGGTTTGGGCATTCAAAGGGTCTGTATCACTGGCGGCCGGCCCATAGGGGGCGCTGGGGCGCCGCCCCCCCTAGATGTTTAGGGGGAAAGTTATAATATATATATTTATTTTTAAAGTATTATGAGTGTCAGTTTTACTTAATAATATCTGGCTACATGTAATATGAATTATTAAAACAACATTTCCACCAACTGACTCTCATTCAACCATTCATTTCCACCCACAGAACGTATCGTTTCTCTTCTGGGGCGCTAGCCCCAAGCGCCCCAGAAGATAAACGAAATAACCAATTGAAAAATGTTGCTAGGGAAAATTAATAAATATTTGGCCAATCAGCATCGCCGAAATTAATGGCTTTGGGGCGCCTGGAGCTGGCGCCCCAAAGCCATAGACGTGTAGCTAGTGGTCAGTCAGGCTGTGACGTAGAGATGACGGCGACGACAACAGTTGAAGAGCAGCTTTCACATTATTCAGTGAGATCTTTACTGAGATCTTTACCCTTTCGTGAGAAGGACAATGGTGGAAAAATTCAATGTAAAGGAGCTGGGACCTGACATTCCGAAATAAATTTAACGCAGCGAACCAATGAAAAAGCTAAGTCCTACAGCCGGCCTTTTACAGGAGCTGGTTCCAGCGTAAGTCCTGGCTGACTGCCGGTGGGAAGGCCATTGCACGTTTATGTTTTTTCCCGCATCCTTAAAAGTGACCGGAGTGATTTGTCGTGGTCACAGTCTGGACAGACAGACTTAAAACACCTCTCTGAACAACTAAGAAACATGAAATATCACGAGTTCATATGGAAAACTGTGTTAAGCTAACTGTGTTAAGCTAACCACCTGTGTGCCTACTTTGTGTGATTGGTGACAAATAGTAAAATTGAGTGTTGTATTTCATACTGTTCCTTTCCAAAATAATACCTAATATAGCTTCAAATGGTTAACTGTATATGTAAACTGCTGATTCTGATAAGGGAATTAAATCATTATTGTGGAATTGTACTAATTTTACGAATTTTAACTTGAATGCATGTACTGGGTTAGGCAGGGAAATCTATTGGCACACCAGCCCCACCAAGTTTTTTTTTCACCAGCCGCCACTGGTCTGTATGCCTTTTGGACACATCCCACAGGGAAGAAACAGATATTTTTGCTCTCAGAGAAGACCCAGTGTAGAAAGCCAAACTTAGAACAAAGTAGACAAACAGATACATAGAAATCTGTTGTGATTTTATATCTACACATAGCTTGGATATCATAAAAAACTCAGATGTTGCTAACGTTTGTTGTCAGTTTCAAAGCAATCCAATATAATAATTACTGGTATCATAGATACATTGGTAACTGGATATAGCTCACAATGTAACCCAAAACTCTTCCCCAAGCCAAACCTTTGTTGAAAAGTTACCACAGTTTTGGTAAAAGCTCACTGTTGTACCTGGTCTTCTATCCAAACGCGGCGAAAATCCAAACTGAAAATCCTAAAACCTTTTTCATCTAATTGCCACAGGTCATTGGATTTAAAAAAGAGGAAAAAAGTACAGGTTGATGATGGAGGTTGACACATTGGAATGTGTCGGTGTTTTTAACAGAAAATCACAGTACTGCTGGGAAAAATTTGAATTTCATACCACTGTATGACAAAAATATTGTGTGTTTCATATGTAACTAAATACAGTAAATATAAAAGCATGAAGTGTTTCCTCATCTCGGCATGCATCTTTTTTTTTCTTTTTTTCTTCTCTACAGTGATAGCCTTCCTGGATGGTCACAGACTGCATGTTATGTAATCCTATTATGATTACTCACTAATTGTTTCTAAAGCGGGTGGCACAGTGGTGTGTTGGTTAGCGCTGTTGCCTCACAGCAAGGGTTCCCGGTTCAAGTCCCAGGACTGTCTATATGGGTTCTCTCTGCGTACTCCAGCTTCCTCCAGTTAATTGGACACTCCCCTTGGAGTGAATGTGAATGTGATTGTGAGTGTGCTTGTTTGTCTCTGTGTTGCCCTGCAATGGAGTGCCAACCTTTCCAGGTCGTACACTGCCCCTCACCCGTTGTCAGCTGGGATAGGCTCCAGTATTCATGTTGGGAATAAGCAGTACAGAAAATGTATGTATGTTTCCATAGCATTTGCTTAATAACTTACCTAATCTTGTTGATATTTCAGTTTGTTTATAACATCTACACTCTGTGTCACATATGCGCAAAATTGAAATTCTGCAGAAATGTTTTCCTTTAGAATTGCAGTTAAAGCTGCTTCCATTTGGAGTATCACCTAAGGGTTTTTTTCTTAGTGCACACAGAGTGCCTCATGTTCATTGTCGTCGGAGCAATACCAAGGTTTGCCTCTTGATTACATCAGAGATTCTTGTATTGGCCTTGAGGAGAGTCTCATGTTCACAATCCCTACTTAACTGTGGTAGATAATAGACAGTCTCAGAAGTCTGATTAAGCTGCATTACAGTTGCTGTGCATGTATAAGCAGCTGGTTGGAAAATGTGTTCTGTCCATCAGAGAAGAATTCCTGTTTAAAGCAAAATGTAAATATTCATTACAGTGGCAGATGTCAAATTTTAACTGTCAAAAGTGAGTCATACGACAAGTACAGATGACACATAGGCCTAAAGGTTACCAAACATGGTAATAAAGAAATTGCAATGCAGTTTTAACTTTTATGCTTTTTTCAGGCTACATAATGGAAATAGTTTATCTTAGAACGTTAAGAATCACTAAAGATTTTCACATTCACATCCCTCCAGAAAGTAACAAATCAAGTGCAAGTTGTTTTATTGGACTCCTCTGTAAGAAGAGAGACACCATGGGTTGTTATTTCAGCTTGTAAATCTATGGCTATGTTTTAATTTAGTTTTTTAAGCATAAAATGTATATCAATCCTCCACACTTAATCAAATTTAGGATTGTATGTGTGGCACTGGAATCCATCCAAGATTTTAGAAGTGAAAAAACATAAAGCACATATAAAGCAAAGAAAAGATGTTCAAAGGGAAAACATCAGCCTTATCTTTACTGAAACAGAGCTAAATCCTGCCCAGTTTCAAATTGAAGTACATTTTTAGAATGAGAACTGTCAAGTTGGGAGGGTGGGGACATGTGTCTGATGCAGGATGATTCTAATAATTAATCACATCTTCACATACACAATAGGTGGAAGAGGAATAAACATTAATAGATGCACGCAACTGTAAGTAAAATAAAATAATGATGAAACAGCAGGTGTACGTGATTAGGAAAAACTAAAGTGACGGTTCCAGCTACTGATTATTCGCACACAGTGTGTTGGGAATGCGTGTGGGAAATAAAAAATTAGGCTGTGTGAAAACTGAACTGGAAAGGAGGGTCAGTTTATATAAAAACTGCCCTTTTTTAACTCCTCAGAGCACTTTTACGCAATTAAAACAGACAAAACCATGATCATTCCCAGCCGGTTTAAAAAAAGGTTTAAGGAATGGTTTAAAGGTTGTGTTTTTACAAAACCATTATTGAACATAAAGCGTCCCATTCCTTTGTCACACCGAAAATTGCAGAGCATTTAGCGATCCGACTGCCTCGGTCGATTATAACTCCGACTGAGTTGTTTCTGGAGAGCAGAGGCTTAAAACTGACGGGAACAGAAATGAAAAGGGACTGAACCAGCGGGACAACGTAAACTTAAATACGCACGCACAAAACGAAAAGACTAACAATTACGTTATATGAATTTGTTTATGCTTTTTAACCCGCGCCTGTCGTGCGCAAAATAGCGCATCCAGTGCGCGAGTGCTTGGAGTCTGACATGAAGTCACGTATGCACACACACTTAGACACGCACACCTACAGGCAAATAGGGATATCTTTACATTACAAAGACCAATGTGCAACTTCCATTTCTCTTGCAAAAATCATTATATAACACAAACTGAAACTCCGCTTGCTTTGTAAATGTCACGGTAATGATCCATTCAGGATGAATGTGATGCACTTGCCAGAGAGGAGACAAAATACTTATCTCACCTGATATGCTGACAATGAAATTAGTTTGAAGAATAATCAGTATTTCCCAAATTACATCCATCTTCCGAGTTCATTCCACGCACATCACGCGCTGATTTAAAATGGGAAACAAATAAATGACTGAGCTGTATCGGATGCTGAAGTCCTGTCCTCCCTCGTTCGATCCCGCTGTACACCTTGCACAAGGTATGCTCCACACTTGACATATAGCAGGTGATTGGAGCATAAGAACTTATTATGCACCTTCCACCTCGGAAGACTTTTTTAAAATCCACAAATGAGCTCCAGACAAAAAAAAAACTAACCAGGACTCCGTTTACTTAGTTCTCTGTTATATTCCAGCGCGCCTTGAAACGAACAAATCCATCCAGTGCCGTTTCACAGAGCATCCATCCAATACTCATAACGCATGGTCGCTTTCATTAAATCAATGTTCAGTGTTTCCGGAAGCAAGTATTAAAAGCGAGCTAAATGTGAATGGACAGCTGTTTGGTACGTCCAACACCTGAAGACACCCTACATCTCAGTAAACTCCCTTCGCCAGGTGGCAAGCCTTCAAACCAGACTTCTCCTCTTCACCGCTTGGGACCAGCATCAAGTTAAATCGCAAAGCAGACCCATTTCCGAAAAAGCCTTTCAAAATAAAAACATCAGCGTAAATTGGACCTGTTAGATCTTTTTGTAATGAATGTTGTAATGAGTCCGTCAAATTCTATGCATTTTACCTATCATTCTTTTCCCTATATGATTCCATTAGATCGGAAATATACATATATTACATACAGTATATATACATATACATAGTTTAATGTATAAATGTTTGTGTGTGTGTGTGTGTGTGTGTGTGTGTGTGTGTGTGTGTGTGTGTGGGTGTGTGTGTGTGTAATGAATGTAAGACTATCAGAGAAAGTTGAAAATGCTGCTACACATACCTGCAGCCAATACTGAGAAATGACGAAATTTACTGAGGTAAAGGCTGATTCTGAATATCTTCTCCATTAATTATAATACAGTTTTTTATAACTGTATGTGAGCTGTTTTTCAATAGTTAATTCTCTATGTTTGTTTGTTTTTAAAGTGCACTTTCATTTTTTAGGCCAACATATCTGAATACTGAATAACTTCTGGGCAAATATAACTTGCCCCTCTGAGTTGTACACCCTTACATCAGGAATTTACTGGCATAAAGAAGATATGAGACAGAATTTTGGAAGTGTGTTAATGAAAGCACAAAAATAGTTACATATCTTGAAATGGGAAAAAATAAAATCCCAGAACAAACAGTAGATCGGTGCAGAGACAAGAGCACGACTAAAAGGAGAAAAAAACAAGTAAGTAATGTCATAATCATAAGTTGATATTTTTATTGGTCAAATAGGATTAATTCCCCAAAAATGGTCTGATTACATATTAATATCCTGATCGTGTTTGACTCCCGTGGTTACACTCCACTCTACAGGCTTAATCTGAATACATGACTAGAGTAACACGTAACAATGCGGGGCGTGTGCTCTTGTATAGGCTAGCTAGGCACCACAGGTGGACCAAAATGGCACAATATAGCGTTAAAACATTGTTTAACTACAACAAATTAAGCAGCATGGCATGCAGTTAGATCCCCTTTGGTTAGTACACCCGGTACATCAGTGTTTTTCAACCACTGTGCTGCAGCACACCAGTGAGTGATACTTTCGGTCACGACCCAAAGTTCGTGACCATAGATGAGGGTGGGATCGTAGATCGACTGATAAATCGAGAGCTTCACCTTTAAGCTCAGGTCTCTCACTGATCCACCTGTCGGTCTCCCGCTCCCTGCACCCATTCGCGAACCAGACTTGGTACTTGAACTCCTCCACTTGGGGAAGGACGTCCCCCCCATCACCTCGGCTGCGCCTAGAAATTTTGTCCATAAATATTATAAAAAGAACAGGAGACAAAGGGCAACGTTGGTGGAGTCCAACTCCGACTTACCAAATACCGGCAATGTGAACCAAGCTCTGACTCTGGTCGTACAGGAACCAAACAGACCGTAACAAAGGGCCCGGTAACCCATACTCCCGGAGCACCCCCCACAGGATACCAAGAGGGACACGGTCGAACGCCCTCTCCAAGTCCACAAAACACATGTGGACTGGTTGGGCGAAACTCCCATGCACCCTCCAGGACCCCGCACAGGGTATAGAGCTGGTCCAGCGTTCCACAGCCAGGATGAAAACCATACTGTTTCTCCTGAATCCGAGGTTCGACTATCCGATGGACCCTCCTCTCCAGAACCGCCGAATAGATAATGATAACGAATGAATTATCTGCAAATAATATGCCAATTCCGAGTGTCTGTGCTGTAGTAGTGGCTGGTGGCGTAATCATGTAATAATTCCTTATCACTAGATGGCAGCAGGTAGCGAATAGCATTGTACGTTAAGACAATTAGTGATGAATGAATGTGACAGGTAGCAGTGAAAGCACTGTGGCTAGCAAGACTGTGATGACGGTGATGGACAAGTTTTTGAAAAGAAAAAAAGCTAACACCGATCAGCGCCCAGGAAACAATTCGGACCCAGATGAAGGCCCTAGTATGACTGGATATCAAAAAGAGCTCAAGGCAATACACTGAGAGTTATATTTCATTTGTATTTACTTTTACTGGGGATGCAACAACACCGACTCCATTTTGCTTGGTATACGGTGAAAAGCTACCTAACAGTGCTATCCAAGCAAGCTTAAATGCCATCTCCAAACAAAAAACCCTTCGCTTTAAAACGAGAATGCAGACTATTTTGTTTTGCGTAAACACATGGAGAAACAGGCAACTTTTAGGAGAAAAACCACAAAGGTAAATGGGAGAGCCCTTAAAGCTAGCTATCACACAGCTGAACTTATAGCTATATCAAAAGGGCCACACACTGTGGCAGAGACATTAATATTACCTGCCTGCAAAGCCATTGTAAATGAGATGCTTGGACCTGAAGATGTAGAAACTAAAAACAGAGAGAGACTGAGAGCTGTTGAGGAAGAGCTTTGTGTGTGTCTTTCTTCAGTTCCTGCCAGGATATCAGTTCTGTGCTCATCCAAACATGCACAGGTTTCACTCTAAGTGAGTAAAATATACTGAGATTGACATTGTCATGCAACTCTTCATATTGTAACAATGAAATCTTTCCCAAATCGTACTGCTTATTACTCTCTCTTGCTTATACTACTCTTATTACTCGTATTACTATTTTCTGAATTCCTGCTAACAGAATGCTTTTGGACAGAATTGGAGTTTGTAAAACACTTCTTCAAAAACACCTCTTTAAATTTAAGACCACATTGTTATGGCACTGTTCCGTATTTTTGAAGTAGACATGTTAAGTGCAATTTGAAAGAAGAAATATAAAGTATGATAGAAAATAAATGTTTGTGTTTATTTGATTCATATTCAAGACACTTTGATGAGGATAACCAAATTGTTAATATATTCAATTTAATTTTATTTTATTTATATAGTGCCACATCACAACAACATCTGTCTCACAGCGCTTTCCAAACAGAGCATGTCAGACCCTACTCTGAAGTTAATTACAGAAACTCAACAATTCCCACCATGAGCAAGCACTAGGCGACACAGGCAAGAAAAACCGTCCTTTTAACAGGCTATTAAAACGTACTACACCTGATCAAACCCAATCTAACTGTGTTTTTTCATCACTGAAAATGCTTGCAAAAGCACAGACATGAGTGGAAAGAGGTACATCCTTGACTGGACAGTGTCAGGTGATGCGATCACAAAAAAAACAAAAACACAAGGCATGGGTTTTCAGTGGTTCATGGTGGACTGAAAAACTTGCTTTCTCTCCACTGATTGTTTTTCCGCAATTATGTCCGCCAGGGTTGTTGTTTTTTCGTCAGTTTAGCAGACGCAAAATAGCAGCGTTTGTCGAGAAACAATGAAGTGCAGGTCGGATGAATGCAACCTGGCTGGACACTCAACCTGACTGTTCACATGTATCGGATTCATACACAAGTGGTGTGGCTCTCAAATCAAATCACATTAATACATAATATCCAAAGCAGGTCACGAATCACTGTTTATCCTTTCTAAAGTTAATTATTTGCTCAACAATTTCTAATTCCTTCCCTCCTGGAGACCGTCCATTATTAAAATAGAGGCAAGGCTGGCCAGAGAAGTTTAGGAATAATGAAATGCAATGACGAGGAGATGGGATGATGGCAAATCATTGTTTCACTGCTGCATTTGGCAGATTCCAAACACCCTTAATGAAAATAGAAAAAAAAAGATTTTTCCTTTTTGAAATTATTTTTCATTAAACCTTCACATTTAATTGACAGTTTTTTTCACCAACTGATCAATTATTCGCATTAAATAATTTGCTGAACAGTAAAGAGCAGCTTAATTCAAGTACCAATACTAAACGTTAAAAATTGAAAAAGATTTATGCAACAATCTTTCCAACATGTATTGCACACAAACTAACATGTAGGTGCAAACAATCCACCTAGTAAGTCAATGCGTCCTCTCCTCTGATGTGGGTTTTTAATGATGGGATTGTTAGCTTGATTGTTCTGTTGAAAGCCTCAGAACAAACCAGCCGTTAGTACTGAGATGTGTAATTCATTCAGGTCACAAGTAAATTAAGGCAGCCCTGGACTTTATGAGAGAGTTGTTGTGCAGGAGCACAGACACAAAGAGCACAGTTATTTTCTTGGGTAGGTGACACCCCACATTATAGGCCAGATTTGCCTACTGAGTCTCTGATTGGCCAGCTACCTCTGACGTGAACGCGCCAGAGTCCTATTCATATGATCACTGAATGTGGTAAGAAAATGTAAAAGACTGTTGTAGATAAAACAAGGAGGGGGGTTGGAGAAAAGACATGTGCTGCATCTTATGTGCACTCATGAACATGTTCATGGAAAATCAACTGGTGTACCAGTTGCCAAAAACATAGTCTTTGTCATCTGTGTATCTCATATATTTTTTAAAACAAATACTATAGTGGCAATATAAAAAAAAACATGCAGTTCCAATAAGATAATACTCTGTCCCTTTTAGAGATT